CATGGACACCCAGACCCCTCTGTCTGACTTGCTTCAGTAAGTCCAGAGTCACCCCCACAGTGACCGTGAGACACAGCTGGAGTCCAGTGAACTGGGGGAAGGTGTGTGGCTGTCAGCACAGCCCAGGACCTTGGCAAAGGGCCAGCCCTCACTGACTGACAGGCATGCACTCAGGGTCTCCCTTTACGAGCCTACCCTGTCCCTTTCCACCTCTGTCCCCTGCCTCATAATTACCTTCTAGGTGATGCTGATCGGATCCCTTGATCTCTCATCCCCTCCTAACACCGTCCTCATCCTTCAGGGCCTCATTCCGTGTCCTTGGGGGCCAGCGGTCAGTGTGCAGGTAAGCCCCCAAAGGTGGTACCAGCTGCTAAATTAGTGAAACGCTTCCCCACAGACTGGTAAACAGAGCTGCCCCAACTGCCAAAATTTGCCCCCCGATATTATACCCAGTTCCTCCAGAGAAAGAAGGGGTGATACCCAGACGCCATGGAACCCCTAGGTGCCACCACGGGCTGACCAGGCCTTGCCCCTGCCTGCCCACACCCTGGGCCCGGGCGAGGCTCTGCCGTCAAGGCTGCTCTCGTCAACCCCTGCAGTGTGGCGGGCGGGGGCCCCGTCCCCGCTTCCTATTACAAAGTCCTCAACCCCAAGGACCAAGGACCGTGCCTCTCAGTCCGTCTTTGTTCTCCAGGACCCCAGTGCGGTGTCTTCTACAGAAAACACACCCCATACACTTCTGCTGGGAAAAGGTTCTGAAGACGTAGCGATGACCACGTCAGCCTCGGCGCCCGTGTCCGGAGGGTGGTACGGAGCTGGCGACGTCAGGCAAGCGCCCTCTGCTCAGGAACGACGACCCTTTGTCCTCTTCCCACCCCGCCCCGTGTGGAGAAACGCAGCACAAATTCAATCCGTTTCCAGGCTGAGCTGGAACGTGTCCCTTAATGATATTTTCTAAAGGGAGAGTCGACTGGCTGAGACCAGGCGTCATGCTGCGGTGTGGCCGGCAGCCCCCCACGGGCCCCAGGATCCTTCCCTCCCGTGTCGCCCACCGGCTCCCCTGGGCTGTGGGCTGGGCTCATCCACTCACTTCCAACCAGCGCGATGGGACATTTCGGTTATAAAAAGCCTGTTGTTGGCTTTGGCCCTGGGCGCTTCCTCTCCTCTCTCTCCTGCGAGGCCTCGGGGGACGCCAGGACCAGGGGAAACCCTGGGAACAGGCCCTGGGGGATGGAGCAGGTCTGAGCGTGGAGGCCCAGCACCCACACGACTGCCTGGCCAGCGCCCGACTCCAGCCCTGTGAGAGATGCCAGCCAGGACCCGCAGCCTGGATCCCAGGCCACACAAACCAAACCGAGAGAAGGCATGATTGTTTCAAGCCACTTCGTGCCACCATAGATAAGGAATCGGTGTGGCTTCTGTGCAGATCTGAAGAAATCACCCCAGCTGTCCTGTGGGTGAGCCAAGCCACACCCACCTGGCAGATCAGTGCTGACCGAAACAGCTACTGTTTACGGGGTGCTCACCGGGGCCTGCTGCTGCTGAGACCAGACAGACATGAGCCTAAGGAGCCTTCGGGGGCCACGTGCACATGTTTCTGGGGCAAAAAGATAAGATACATGCTCTCAGCTGTCAGGAGGTCATACTCACCGCCGGACAGGAAAGAGTCCATGTTTTTTCAACCCACTCCGTGAAATGCCTGCCCCAGGGGGGACCAGAGCGTCTGAGGACAGGCCACCAGAGTGACCGCATGGGGTCCTCAGATGCCTGTGTGACCACCCGACTCTCCAGAATTCCTGCAAATTTCACTTGCCTCAATTTACACTCACTTCCTTTTAGGCTCTTACATGTGAAGGTGAAAAATGCCCAGGCGGGAATCTAGCTCTGTCCTTTCTTAAAAATCAATCTCCTCTGACTCCAGAAGCATCTCAACATCATGCGTTATTTTTAAAAAGAGATAAATGAGGTGATTTTTTGAAAGTCATTTAAGACAAAAGGTACCGTGGAACAATGCACACAACAGGATGCCATTTCGTTCCTTTCAAGGGTGGTAGAAATGGATGGGTCACTCGGGAGAGAGGCCAGGCGGCTCACCTGGCCCCACGCCCTCCGACTAGACCTCAGCTGCTCCTGGAGACACGCAGAGATGGCCAACTGTCCCCTGTACGCAGGGAGGACACGCCCCGGGAGAAGACAGTCTAGCAGCTTCCCCCTGAGCTGTCCAGCCCCCTACGAGGTCACCACGGCCTCCCCTGACAGCTCCCGGCAGCCCCCGCGCTCTGCCAGCTTGCGCTTCGCCAGACGTGCCCAGCGGCAGCCCGGGCGGCTCCTCCAGCCCTTGGGGGCAGGGGGTATGGGGCACCCGCAACCACTTTGCACCCTCAGCACAGTCCTGGCCATCGGCAGGGCTCCCCGCATTCCAGTGAGAACGGGAGATGTGTCACCCTGGCCCAAGGTGTGGGGCTTGCTTGCCTCACTGCTGGGCGGGGTCCCTTGACCCTCGGGGACAGTGGCCGTGCTCACATCTATACACGTGGCCTCCGTTACTTGGCTTTTAAGAGGAAGCGAAATCCTACCAACGCGGCATGCGTTCAAGAAATCCGGGTCGAGACGGAAAGGCCGTTCGCTGTCCACGAACGGGCGTCTGTGCGGCCACCTGAGGTCATCCACACGGCACCCTGCGCTCAGGTTGTGGAGTGGCCTGGATCTCAGTCCTGGTGAGAGCCCTACGTGGTGCTGGGATAGTTACACTCCCGTAAAGTCCCCAGCTCTCAGTCCCGGTCTGCTCCGGTCCGGTCCCCTCCAGTCCCGTCCCGTTCAGTCCCGGTCCCCTCTCCACGTGCTGCTTCTCCTCTGAACACACTGCACGGTCCACCTTTTTCTCCGATTTGTGCCCACGTCCCTGCGGCTGCTGGCTCTGGGCGTCTGCGTGTTTCTCGGAGCTTCTCTGTCTCTGCCGCTCCTCGCTAGTTCCTATCGGCGCCCTCCTGACCCGATGAGAGGATTCGTCTCTTCAGAACGAGCCCCGCACAGACCGCGAGCCCGAGGGGCTGGAAGCTGGGCCCGCCCCCGGCCCCGCCCCCACCGCCACCGGTCCTGTTCGCACGGGCAGGCAGCTCAGCCATCTCTGGAGCGAGTCCCCAGCACCTGGCCCTGTGGCTCTTCCTCCGACACCTGCCAGGGGAAAAAGCAAGGCTCCGAAACCAGACGACGTGCTGGTCACTCTCCTGGGGCAAATCAGTACCCGCACCGAGGCTCCGGGAGCTTATAAAACACAAGAACGAGGGGAGCCTGAGGTTCAGAAACAGCGTAGACGAGGCGCACACAGAGCTGGCGGCCCCAGCGGCCGGAGCGCGGCTCCGCGTCCTGCAGCGTCACTGCCCCAGCGCGCGCGTGCGGAGCGCGAAGACTACCGAGCCACCAGGGGAGCCCGGAAAGTCACCAGCTGTGCCCCAACGGTGCGCGGGGTCTGGGGGTCCAGGAAATCGAGCATCCTAGTGGTCACGGTGCGAACACGCGGCTGCCCCCCTCGTCACTCACTGTGCTCCTCGGCGGGGCGGGCTCCGTATTCTCCCTCTCCTCTCAGAGGCAACGACACCACAGAGCTGCGGTTGAGACACCTGCCCGAGCCGTCTCAAACAGAGAGAGTGATGCTAGAATTTTGAGTTTTCTTCCTGAAAATGGATCTGGACGTGCACACACGCACACACGCGCACACACACATCTAGCCGGTCGGGACGGGAAGGATCAACAGGAAAGCGAGAGAAAACTGCCCGCAGGAGGCCTGTCCTGTCCCGGAACCGCTTCCGGCAACCCGGGTTCCTGGGACCCTCCGGGCACCGGCCGTGACCGAACACGCTCTCCTCACCTCGCCAGAAACTGCTGAAGACCCCTCGCCTTTCAGCTGTGACGGCGAAATAACGGCCATCGTTGGTCCTAAAGGCATGAGTGGGATGTGTTTCTTCCAACATCTCCTCCTCTCTGCTTTTGCCCCCAATTTAAAAATACATCAGTGTTGAAAAGCGTATACGAAATGTGTCCCCAGGCTGTTCTGTCCACCTTCCAAGGGTCTCCCCCAGACCAGCAGAGCGGAACAGGCCCCCAGTTCCGTTGCTGACTGACCCTGCGGGCATGTCAGGGACCAGACCCAGCGAGACAGCCCCGGGGGAGCTGGCCCACGACTCTGGTCCCATCTCCTCTCTCCAGCCTTCCGTCCTAAACACCCCGACATTGTCTACGGGCGATGTGAGCCCCCCACCCCCGCATCTGTCTGCAGGGGCTCGTTCCCAAGCGCAAAACGCGGTACGCGTTCAGGTGCTTTTTGTCGCCCCGGGCCAACCAAGGCCGTTGTGACTCCCGTGAGAATACCTGAGCCCCCAATGACTTGATTTGCTTACCTGGCACAGGCTCAGCCATTACACAGCTTGAGCGTTAAAGGTGACAAAAGTCACCCTAACCGACCCAGACCCAAAGGCACGCGAGCCGTTAGAGAAAAACAGAATTTCATCTTTATTCTGAATTCTGCAGTTCAAACTCTCTCGCTTAGGGATTCTTAAACTTTCTTAAACTCGAAAGATAAAAGCTCAGAGGCGGATGCAGCCCGTTAGCCAGGAAGCAGCAGAACACAAGAGATTAAGACTATGAAGTAGCGTCATACAAGACCAGTTCAAACCCCAATCTGCTTAAAAGCTGTGTGATCCTGAGCAGAGGATTTAAACTCAGCCTTTAAAACACGGACGGTGTGTCTTACCTACTCCTAAACTCTTCTGTAAGGATTAAATAAACCGATCGTATGTAAAATGCCTAGCCCGTAGTAATCGCTGAGTAAGTATTAATTATATGGCTCATAAAATAGTCATCTTTACTCCAAGCAAGAAGGAAGAGCAGTTAGTTCAAAACATTTCATCAAGTAGAAACTTAAAGCGTCTGCAAATTCTGAACGATCCAGAACAAGAGGCAAGGCAGGATGTGTGGGGCGGGTGAGCGGGCGCCCGACTTACCCCCAGAACCCCGAAGCGCTCCGCCAGGCTCCAGCCGCACAGGAAGTCGATCTCGAACTTGTGGTTCAGAACCACGATGGCGTTTTCTTTCCCGAACTTGGGGTAGGCCTGGGGGTCCGTGTGGATGACGCACTCCGTGCCCGACCACCACTCCAGAAGCATCACCAGCTCTGGAACAAACCACAACAGATGGACGTTCATTTCGCGTGTCCTGCGTGACCCGGGATTGGCTCCGCTGGGCCGGGTGGGGAGCAGGGCTCTGCCCTCCGGACCGGGGCACAGGGCGACTTCTAGGGGGTAACGGTCTGGGTCATCTCGGCCCACAGCCCAGTCCCTGAGAGGGTCGAGAAGCAGAAGGACAAACGAGAAAGACTTCACGACAGCCTCCAGGGAGGGAGAGGGAGCTATGACAAGACAGATGACTTGCATTCCTTGATTAAGTACCTGGGGGAAAATAAGTCAGAGAGCCTGAGCCCATCAGGAATTCACGCCCGGCGTTTGCCGAGCTCTGAGAGGCCGCGTGAGGTGATGCACAGACTTCTCAACATCCCGGGAAATGACTAATTGGGGTACTTATAAACTCCATCAAAGGACACGTGAATACCCACGTTTCCTCTCCCATTTGCAACACATGAGTGCACCAGGGTGAGGCTGCAGCAGACGTTGGCGCCTGAAGGGCAAGGTCAAAGCCATCGCACCGGGGCCCACGCAGAAGCACTAAAATAGTCTTTCGAGTTCCCACTATTTCCCCCAGGCAATAATGACCAATTTGACTTTACCCAGTGAACAATTCTGGTGGCCTCAGGAAAAGCCTGTGTGTAGAAAGTGTCCAGAAAAAACAGCCGAATGTCGGCGATGAAAACTATAGCTACACAGCAGCTTCAAAATGAAGTTTTGCAGCCGAACGTGTTGCTGGCTGGGTGGATGGCTGGGTGTGTGAGTCCCTGTGAAGGTCGCACCCCTTTTTTTATCCCTGGTCAGTGGGGGTGCACATTTAGCAGAGGACTCACTCATCACCCCCCCGCACGCACGCACGCACGCACACACGAGCAGGCGTGGTCCCGACTCTGGCCAAGCCTCGCGTCTTAAAGCCTTCAGTGGCAGCTTTTGGGGACCTGTCTCCTTGGGCTGGAGACGGATGCTTTTGAACCAGAGCACCAGAACTTTCTAGAAGGCACTGCAGTCTAGCTCCTAAGCAGTGAGCACCATGGGGCTTTGGACAGGCGAACCACACAGCGACTCTGCGTCTCGCTCTTCGGAAGGGGTTTGCCTCCTGAGGCGTCGAGGGAATTAAAGTGTGTGACACAGGTGTGCGCTCCGGGCATCCCACACGCTCAGTTCTCAGCAAATCCAGGCATCGGCATCTACCGGCACCGTGAGAACCAACCAAGGCGCCCCTCCCTCGACAGCGAGCCGGGCCTGCCGATTCCTCGGAGCTGAGAAAACGCCAAGCCCCCAGTCGGTCAGCTGTCCCACAGGCAGGGACGTTGGCGGCACTAGGAGCGGTGAGTTAAGGGAGGGTTAGCAGGACACAAAGGGACTTTTGCTGTGTGGATGTTGTGCAGAAAGATGTTTCTATCGCTGCCCTGATTTCTTCTGAGAGACAGGTGGTCAGGACGGCCTAGTCCGTCCCTGGCACGGAGCCCGGAAAAGCCCCCAAGCTGAGCAACACAGGAGCAGCGAAGCCGAATGGGTCCATGTGACTCGTCGTCCTGCAGACATCTCCTGACGCCTCCGCGTCCTGCTCTCCCTGCCCCAGGCCAGGCCCCCGAGTCCCCTGTTCCCCGGTGCCCTTCACAGCACTCATCACAGCTTGCGATGCCACCCACGCATGTCCCGTGACAGACAGCAAGCCCCGTCAGGCGAGGACTGCTCTGTCCGGTCACGCTGACCCCAGCCTTGACTCCGAGACCCAGCACGGAGCCGGCACCATTATGCTCTCGACACGTCCTGGTGCCGATGCGTGTGGGCCGCATGGGGGGACCTGGGGAGTAATAGCAGACATCGGGTCCGGTGCCCACCCTCTTGGGGCCTAGTGCCACAGGGGCAGGATGCTGGGTGCTGAATGACATGCTCGTGGCTTTGGGGATCAGGCACAATCGGGCTGTAGTCCTGCCGATGCCACTCACTGGCTGTGAGACGTCCAGCCTGTCTCTCAATGTCCCCTAAGTCCCAGCATTCTTCTCTGTAAAATAGGGACAGGAAAAGCTTTTAGAGGCCTCGCGGGTATCGAAGCAGATTACGTAGTTGGAGCATGATGTTGGACAGAGTATAACCAATAAGCAGCCAGCTTTTCATTACTATTGTACGTCTGGGAATGTTACGGCACACGAGGCTCTGCGGTCACTGACGGGGAGAGGGAAGAGGGGACAGAGACAGAGACAGACAGAGTGTGACAGCGACTTCTACCCCAGGAGAAGGCGTTACGAGTTACGATCTCATAATCAAGGCGATGAGAAGTCACTGGAGCATTGTTAAGCAGGCACAGCGTGGCATCATTTGCATTCCGAAAAGACCACCACGGCGGACGGCTCACGTGGGGACAGATCGGAGGAGCCAGGCAGAAGCAGGGAGACCAGCTGGAGGCATTGCCCAGTGGCCGGGGCCAGGCGGGGACAGTGGAGAGAAGCTCGATTTCTCATACGTCTCAATATGCTGTTCGTGGCACAAGTGAACACTACATCTCACGGGGTAGAAGATTCTTGCCTATTTTTTTTTCCCCCACCAAAGAGTTTCGAGGGTTTTTTTAATTCAGAAAAAAAATTTCTTTATAGAGCCACACGGTAAGATAATTCATCGAGCCAGACGTATGCTGAGGAAAGCATGAACATTTAAATCCCCGACGGCTCGGCCACGCGTGGATTAGGCCGAGCTGCACTGCTCTTCCCCGGTCTCCTTTCTTGTTTGATTCGGGTTAAGGGGCCCACGGGGGCATTCTTGGGAGGCCCGGCACGAGGCAGGGCAGCAACACCGTTTGCAGCTCAGACACATTGCTGGTGACCTGCCGAGTCACCTCAGCCCGAAGCAGCAGCTGGGCCCGCAACCGTCTGAGCGGTGACGAAGGGCCCTCATTCAGTAAGAACTGCGTGGGTATCCGTCTGTCCTCAGAGGCCTGCAGCGAACGCTTGGGGGCTCCGGCCTCTCCATACCCACCAGTGTGCATGCATCGCCCCTTTCTGCCTGCCTGCCCCGGGACTTCAATCCCCAGCATGAGCGACAGAGACGACGGCCCTACAGAGATGGCCCGACCAGTCCCCACAAATGAACAAGGACCAGTCCCTGTACAGGTGGAAGCGTATCTGCCAGTGGCTCTGCCTCTCCAGTTGGAGGATGGGGAGGCCTGGTCTCCCCTCCCCCAATCCCACCACCTTCTCCAGGCTTAACCGTTCAGATCAGTTTGGAAGGGAGCCTTCTAGTCCTGTTCCTAGATGTATACGTGCAGAACACGCATGCGCACATACACGTGCACACACATGTACACGTCATACACTCAAGTACTCTCACATGTACACACATGCACTCACACACATACACACATGCATGTACGCTCATGCATGCACACTCATGCATACATATTCTCACACATGTGCACTCATGTGCAACCCACACATGCACACTCTCACAATGCATGTACACGCTCATGCATGCACAAACTCATGCACATACTTATGCACACATGCTCATGCACACATACATACACACATGCATACAATCATGCACACACGCTCACCCATGTACACACCCACACTCTCACACACATCTTTCCTCCCCATAAATGGGTTCATGCTTTTATCGATGTTTGTAAACATACACATATGTTTTCTTCAAATGGTATATTCTGGATCTTTCTGTGTTAAGCCATCCAGATGATGATATTAGCGAGTATTTATTGGGCTGTAGCCATGTGTGGGCACTGTTTCTAGGGCTTTGCATGTGATAATGCACTTAGTCCTCTTATTAATCCTGTGAGACTATGAGGTACTGTCATTCTCCCCATTTTAAATATGAAGAAATAGGAACAGCTTTCGTTCTCTGTTCAGTAGATGAAATTGCCATTTTTAAAAGGTGAAAAACAGCCAGAATGGCAATCTCACACAGGGTGACACCGTGGCTGTACAGCGGTTCATACCATGGATATACCGTGATTTATGCAGCCATTCTGCCATTGATTAGCATTTTTCCCTTGTTCTTTTTGCGGCTACAAATAATAATACTGCATTAAGCATCTCGGAATCTTTTTAACGTTTGTGAAAGTATTTTTCCAACATAAATACGCCCTCTTCCCCCAAAAGATAGAACTATGGATTGAAAAATATGCATATATTTAAATTTTATGGCTATTCCAAAATTGCCACCCCAAAAGATCCTGCCCACCTATGCTTGATTCGGCGGGGTGGGACAGCGTCTCTGCGGCCCGGGCTAACACTGCAAAGCTCTCGAAGGCTGGGACCAGGTGCGTGTCCTTCCACACGTGTCCCCAAAGAGCACGGAGCCATCGTCACTGATCCCCTCCAGGCAGCGCCCACACCCCCTCATCCTCGCCTCAACATCCAGCACTCAGAAGGCTCTGGCATCTCGCGGAACGACTTACTGGCCAATATTTTACTGGGCATTTCTGTGTAAACAGCTGCACGTCACCTGCAAACATCTCCCTGAACAGGTTTCATCGACCCTCCCCTGTGGCTGCTGTCTACGCTCACTATATGCACTCATGTGCAACCCACACATACACACATGCACATTCTCACAATGCAGGTACACGCTCATGCATGCACAAACTCATGCACACACATGCACATACACACACTTATGCACACATGCTCATGCACACATACACACAGTGGCTTCGCAGCCGACTGCCAGGCGGCCCATCTTTTATGCCAACGGGCACCTGCCTAACGGAGGCTCCACGTGAGGTGGGGATGTTTTACTGGGCATTTCTGTGTAAACAGCTGCATGTCACCTGCAAACGTCTCCATGAACAGGTTTCATCGACCTTCCCATGTGGCTGCCGTCGACGCTCACGCCCCCCTCAGTGGCTTCACAGCCGACTGCCAGGCGGCCCATCTTTTATGCCAGTGGGCACCTGCCTAACGGAGGCTCCACGTGAGGTGGGCATCTGCCGCTCCACTTAGAGGCACTCTGGACCATCCCGCGTTGAATGTCGGGG